TATTGAGTTATAGACTGTTTGAAAATAGGGATTTCTCAATGAAATACTTTCCGTCTTTCATTCAGCTTTAATGCAATTGAGATTTTATGATATCATTGAACCGTTTTATAGAGAGCGTAAAAAGATTTCTTTAATGATCTATTGTTCATAGATGGCATATATTAGCAAAACCAAATTATGTAAATGTGAATGAATTATATATTTATATAGCACTTATGAAGATATACATTAATGTAAGCAGTAATAGAGAGTTATATCTCTTTATTACATTAATTATATTAATGTGCATTATTATAAGCAGTGAGAAAAAGGTGTCGTTAAGTTGTTCTTGAATGAAATCAGTAAAAAAAAAGGTTCCGAAGTTATAAAGTCGTCCACCGTATTAATAATTACAAATGATTACGAGAAGAAAGCTTTTATATTTTAATATTATAAAATAATTATATATCTCTATAAATTCCTTTAGCTCCTAGAATCATGGTGCCGCCAAATAATTAAATATATAAAAATAATTAAATATCAATTTTTCACAATATAAACATTAAATATTTACATATAAACATAGATATATATACCCATATTAGGCGTATAATATGGGTATATTAGACATATATATTATGGGTATATTATTATATACCCATAATATTTGAATGTGAGTTCCATATTGTTATGGAACTTATATGTTAATCAAATTTATTGTCTTTTGGCCTGTCTTTGTAGACAGTTCATATATGGACTTTCATTCGATTAGCTAGCTGAATTGAAGGATCAGCTTATATATTATATTAACAAATAGACTGCAGGATATGGCTAAATCGATTCGTCTCGACATGCTGATCAAGATTGTATATGATTTATGTGACATTCGACGTATTCTTCACTATGTTACATACATTTTCTGAAATGAAATATGAAAGCATATTTCAAAATTACTTGAACTTTGCCTTTTCATTTTAATTTATTTATCGTTTTTTTTGACTAATTTCTCTTCTTTGTTTCTTTTATATTTTTGAAATTTATTGCAAATAATTTACCAAATAATACACATAATGTATAATATTATTATTGTTTTATTATTATACAAGTAAGTCTGGTTCATGTCCTTCGATAGACTTTTATCTTTTTGCATTGTCAAAATAAAATCAAAATGCGAACCAAAAAGGAGTACAATGCACCTCAGGGATACAAACTTTTAACAAATAAAAAATATCATAAATTTTGGAAGAAAGCATAATTTAAACAAATGTAATTATGAGTACAAAAATATTATTTCAAAACATTAACTTTTAATTCATATTAAAATTTTGTTGTTTGTATCTGCAATTATTGTAGTTTTGTTGTTGTGGAACCAGTGGTTGCCGGCGCTTGTCATTCAACTCCTTTACTGTCTGCAAGTCTAGAAAGTTTTTCTACGCCTTGGCCATTATTTTCCCTTGTTAACTGACTTTAGTTGCTTACACATTTATACGAGTAACTATATATATGTAGGGATATATAAGTATATACATAGTGTGTGCAGTTAGGTTTCTTTGGTATTCAAGCCCTCAAGTAATGTACTCAAGTGAAAGTAAACTTTTTTCCTATTCATTTTTATTTATTTTGTTGTGCATGCAAATTCATTTGCAAAATGTCATTTTTGTTGAGTAAGTGAAATGCGTAGAGAGCAAGGATATGCAGGCAGTCATATCCTTTTAAGTACTTTCGTTTGTACTTCTTTAATTTTAATTTTAACATTTCTCAGTTTGTCATAGTAAGTAATTTTATTTTGCTTTTGGTTTTTTTGTTTTCTTTCTCTATTTTATTCACGTCTGCTTTTAGCCAGACAAAATAATGGCTGAGAAAATTAAATAACTTGGTTGAAAGCTACAAAAACTGCATTTTCTTCTGTTATAAAAATTAATTCAAATGTAATTATACGAATTGAAATTTTAATGAGTCTAAAAGCGTGTTGCATTTGCGCTTACTTTATGCGTAGATTAAAATGTTAAGAGTTTATTATTTCAATTTTATAATTTATGTAAATATCCTTTAGAGTTTCGTCTTCTAGTTTCAAATACTTAATATGTTTCTTGTTTCTTGTTATACGAAGGCGGTTTGATAAGTCAGTGACTTTTTGAATTTCCCGCGCAGTTACTCCAAATCCAACAGTGCTGCCGTCAGCTGTAATCTATCAGTGGGCAACTTTCTAATTCTGAGCAAGCTACGTCGTTCAGTTGGTGTTTGATAGCCGTTCAAAGTACACTACCTCATGACTTTTTACGAAAATGGAAAAAAGTGAATTTCGTGTGCTGATTAAGCATTCGTGACCAAAATCCACGAATTGGGATACGAACTGCTACCCCATTCAGCATATTCTCCAGATTTAGCCCCCTGCGACTATTTCCTGTTTCCAAACCTAAAGAAATGGCTGGGCGGTTAGAGATTTGAGTCGAATGAAAAAGTCATTACCGAAACAAACGCGTATTTTGAGAGCTTTGAGAAAACCTATTATTTGGAGGGAATAAGAAAATTAGAAAAACGCTGAACTAAATGTATCGAGCTAAATGGTGATTATGTAGAAAAATAAAATGTTTATTTGCTGAAAAAAATATTGTTTTATTCAAAAAGTCACTGACTTATCAAACCGCCTCGTATCATACAATTATTCAGTCAAAATGACGTTCCTATTATACTAAAACCAACTGGCATTGAAGTTTCCATTCGAAAATTCATTAGAATCCAATTCAACGCAAGAATAGTTCATGGATTTTGTTACAGTGTTATCACATAAAGCAACAGTTGTGACTAAATTTAAGGCTAAAAATATCATTAATCATATTATTTTTCAGAACTAGTTTCGTATAACTTAATTTTCTTTACAACACTAAAATTAGTGGTCCTGTGTATAAACCGATTTTGTCCGCAAACCAAGAAAGAAATCTAAGACTATGCTGATAAGGTCTATGTGTAGTGTGTATTAATATTACACATATCCTTGAGGAAATCACTACTATAAGTAATTATAACTCTTACACATAGAACATAGACAATTTTCTTGCATCCAACTTGGAGGCTAGCAAGTGTTTCGCATTGCTATCAATATCGATGTGATTCATTTAGTTTTGTTGTGCCCAGTGTAGTTTTGGACCTTCCACGTCTGCTGAAGCCCTACGGATTCCACTGCTGTGTCGTTTTTGCAATGTTATTTTTTTTTTATTTTTAGAGATTACGTCCAATCCATTGCCATTTCAAGTAGTGTTTGATTGATTATAAAATTGTTGCCGTCTATATTGCAACAATCGTTTCGGTTAATAATAGTTAATAATTCTTTTCAACAAATTGTGTTTGATACTGTTATTATTACTATTAAAGAAGATAATGACAGACTATATGTAATTATAATGGCCTTAAAATCATAATATTTAAGAAAAACTATATACTGCGAGCTATAAGATCTCCTGTGTTATGTCTTCAAAGAGTTTTCTAAGCTTACGTCTCCAAATTTAGACTATTGATTAACCTAATAATATATAATGACTCAAGGATCCTAGACCTTATTCGTTTCAATTAAAAAAATATGTATGTACTCGTTTCATGCCAGGTCAGCACCTACACACTACGGACAAATGAAAGCGTCAGAAATTTTACTATATATTTTGAAACTTTCGAGATTTTTTAAATCAATCTTTGAAAGATTGTATTTTATAGGTCGGTCCAAGTCTTCTTAAAAAATCCAGACTAATCAATTTGGGTCAATTTAAGCTAATAAAACTGTTAAAATTTTCCATATAGTAGTCCCTAAGTAAGACATTCAAAATTGGTCAAAGCTTCGCAACCAAATACATTTTGTCAAGTAGGAGAGAATTAGAAAATTAATTTTCGCAAGTTTGTCTGCGGTTTAACTACCATTGAATCTGTAAAGTTCACATATCCAGATAAGATATCCAGATGAAGTCATTTAATTTATACTAGCTACCTCATTTGTGTTATGAGATTCTCACAGATATGAACCAACTTAGATTTGTTGGTACAAGATTCAACAGATTTTATAGTTATTAGGCTATCGCTATATATAATAATGTCATATTTCTTTCTCGTTGTTTCGGGTTTCTTTACTTATATTATAATTTAACGCATTTTATGTGAAAAACTAGAGAAATATTTTCCATTAAATTCGCTATACATCTTTTTTTAACCTCTTTTTTGATTACATTCAATTTTTTTTTTATTATTAAGCAAAGTTTTCTTAAATTAAGCTTAAATAAAATTTTTTGTTCCTCACTTACTGATTTTAATTAATTTTTTATTCCTGCTAATAACAAAAAATCTTTAGAAATGATTTTACAAAATAATCACGTAATTTTTTTTTTAAAAGTCGTACATTTTAATTTACTTCCGTTCTGTTTTCGTTGAATATTTTTACGTTTTATTTATTTGTTATAGATTTTTAGGTCGTATCTTTAAAGTGTATCTGAAGCATGTCTCATTAAAGTCTGCTTCATATTTCATACTTAATAATTCTTATTAATTTTGAAATGTGCATAACCAATGACTAAAGATAAATCTTTTTAAAAGTTTTTTCGTTTTTCTTTAAATGTTTTTATTGTTAAAATTTTTTCTTTATATCTACAATATTTCTTCGCTGTCAACGGAAATGGTGGCATTTCAGTTAAATTCTATCCGCAGACAATCAAACTATGCTTAAATGAACTGTAATCAACTTTAATTATGTGAACTTTCTATTCACTTATTTCGACTGATTTATTTCGCTGTTCTTTGACTCTATCAGGAAATTTCTTATAGTTTTTATTTACTTTATAGAAATTTTTGTTAGTGACCGTTTTTACGCTTTATGGGCTTAATGAATTTGAATTCCCGCTAGAAAACTGT